GATTTACAATATATTTCTCCCGACTTTTTCTTATTCTTAAAATTTCTCACGAATTTTTATGGAACTTTGGCTTAATACTTTGTTATATGAACAAGAAAAACACACAAAAAGTGGGGCGGGGATTTTGGACGTCTGAAAGCAATTGAATTTTCTCTAGATTATATCTAAAACAAAACCTTACGAATCAATAACTTCTGCTTTTGTGAGTGAGAGAGCATTATACGTATCCCAGAAACGTCGTTCTACAGTTCTCCAATGGGCATCGAACTCCACTGCGTGTCATGCTGGCATATATTAGCCAATGAGGACAAGGCAAGCTGTTATTTGGATGTTCTTTAGTTATTTCGGTTCAATTTTGAGCCTGAGTTGTGTGAGTGCACGTGCCTTCGGGAAATAGTTTTAGAAATTTATCATCTTTTGTTATGTCTCCGAGAATGAAATACTCGTGTACGTTTCAAAAATCGTACACAGTTGACTTTCCTTCCATTATTTCCTCAAGGAAATGTAATAAATTTGCTATGTGCACTGCCTGTCGTTGCGATTTTTCGAATTCGCAATGTGGAAGGGCGGATGTTCTCAAATATGTGCGAACACAAAAACAAGGATAACATGAGTTTTTTTAAAAAAACGAAAAATTAAATTTTTCTTTGGAAACAAAGGACCAAAAAGTTATTAATGCAGAATGTCTGTTCTCTGCCTTTTTACTGGAGCACAACCTGCCACTGAATGCATCGGATCACGCTGCAGCTTTATTTAGAAAAATGTTTCCCGATAGTGAAATTGCTAAGAAATACTCAAGTGCAAGAACCAAAACAGGTGCAATTGTTAAAGAAATGAGTTTGAAAAATAAATCTTCAGCTATTGATTGCACAAAACAGCTCCGTTCTGCCTTTCTACGGATAGAAGCAATAATGCCGATTCAAAACTGTATCCAATTGTTGTTTCTTTTTTTTAATCCAGATTCTTAAGAAATTGAGTGCAGTTTACTTTCTGTCCCCATTTTAGAAGGACATTGGACAGGCTTTAATATACCACAGCTAATTATTAAACTTTAAAAGAAAATGCAGGCCCTCTGGATAATTGCTTAGCACTTGGTGCCGATAATGCACCAGTATTGGTAGGCTTGAAGACTGGTGTTGCAGGCATCTTAAGAAAGGAAAATTCAGATTTGCAGATTATGAGGTTGCACCTGTCACCTCTTAAATTTAGCATATGAAAAAGGGGCAGCTTCTTTACCAATAAATGTGGATGAACACATTGTTGATATTTATTATTATCTTGAAAGGAGTTCTAAAAGGAAGGAAAAATTGAAACAGTTCCAACAGCTGCATAACAGCAGTTTACAATTAGAAAACTTGAATGAAGTTATAAAATCAGCTAGGATTGACACCCAGTGGAGTTTAATTGGAAAACTGAAAGGTGCTGATGGAATTTTAAAATATAGCCAACTGTCTAGAATTGTGTTGGCCATCTTGACAGTTCCCCATAGTAGTGCAGAGTGTGAGAGGATTTTCAATGTTGTTGCGTAAACGAGGACTAAATTTAGATCTAATATTAGTGATGACACAATAGAAAAACTTTTCTTAGCGAAAGCAGGCCTACGTGTCAATTGCAGTGAACAAAATTAGGAAGTTTCTTTCCTAATTTTCTAAACTAAAATTCCCTCCTTTTTTTTTTTTTTTTTTTTTTTTTCCGTGAACGATGCAAGTAATAAAGATGTCTTTTTATGTGTAAGGTATTTTTGTGTTGCTTGCATTTAAGAATTAGTTACTATTTAAAGTTAATTCATTATTAAAAACCATATTTTTATCATTTAAAAAGTCTTTTTAACATTGTGAAAAATCTCCTGATTTCTTAAAAAAATCTCTTGATTTTTGAGTGTCATAGGTTGGCAAGTATGGTAATGTCTTAATCTTTTAATATCTCATTTTTAACATGCAGATACTTAATATCAAATTTAATATTTATATGTGGTTAAAATCAATTTCGGCTGTTCAATAAGTTTTTAAATAAGCATTTTAAGTTTGTTAAAACTGTTTTTATGTTGCAGTTTTCTATCTCTGTGAATAAAATTTAATAGGAATTAAAATGTACTGTTTTAAATATGTAATGTTTAAATTCTTGTGCTGACAGTTTATTATTTATGTAAGTAGTAGTAAATAAGAATTATGTCAATTCATAATGTAACACAGTCTTGCTCCAAGAAATAGCCATCTTAGTGGCAATCTTGGCTTCCCAAACTGTGTAAATTGATGTTGGAAGAGTGGGGAAAAAAAAAAAAAAAAACTTATATAGTTTTCACTGTACATTTTCCAACAACATTTAAAAAATATTCATATTATTGTAAATGTGTATTTAAATTGATTATATTAATGTGATCGTTTAATATCTCATTTTTAAACATGCAGATACGAGGGCTATCCAGAAAGTAGATTACGTTTTGGAATAAAAAAATAAACAAAGTATAGGAAACAAATTTTATTATATACAGATGAAAGCCACACTCAAATACTACTTTTCTACATAGTCACCATACAAATTAAGGCATTTATCGTAGCGATGTACGAGCTTGGAAATTCCTTCGTCGAAAAATTCGGCCGCCTGCGCCTTCAACCACTTCGTTACCTCTTCTTGCAGCTGTGCGTCGTCATCAAAACGCTGCATAGCCAGCCACTTCTTCATTGCTGGGAATAGGTGGAAGTCGCTCGGTGCCAGGTCGGGACTGTACGGCGGATGAGGAAACAACTCCCACTTAAAAGATTCAAGAACTTTACGAGTGACATTTTGCCGTGTGGGGGCCGGGCGTTGTCGTGAATCAACAAGATCTTAGAGCTCAACATTCCTCTGCGCTTGTTTTGAATTGCTCTTCTGAGTTTTTGGAGAGTTTGGCAATACCTTTGAGAGTTTATTGTAGTGCTCTTTCCAGGAAGTCCACCAAAATTACACCTTTTCTGTCCCAAAAAACAGTCGCCATCATCTTCCTTGCCGACATTGTTTGCATGCATTTCTTGGGTTTTTGGGGAGAGAACTTGTGCGCCCCACTGCATTGATTGCAATTTCGTTTCACAGTTCACATGTTTCACCCATGTTTCGTCACCAGTAACGATGCGATCGAGTAAAGAGTCACCATCCTAATGGTAAGCGTCCAAAAGTTCAATGCTGCAGCCATTCGCTGATTTTTGTGGTCCTCTTTCAAGATTTTTGGAATCCATCTTGCACAAACTTGTGGTAACCAAGCTTTTCGCTGATGATTTCGTGTGCAACAAACTTCGCGAAATTTGTGGAAAACTCAAAGAAAAAGTTCCGTTATTGTGAAATTTCGATTTTCACGGACTTTAGCATCGACTTTTTCGAGAAGTTCGGCGGTCACTATGCTGGGTCTCTCCCACTTCGATCTTCGTCGTGAACATTGGTTCGGCCATTTTGAAATCTTATGACCCACTGACGCACTCCACCTTCAGTGATAATGTTGTCCCCATACACTTCACGAAGATTTGCCGATAGATTTCTATCGGTTTACAGTTTTTTGCAGTCAGAAACCTTATTACTGAGCGCACCTCGCAGCTCGCGGGATTTTCAATTAACGCAGACATTTCAAACCGTCACAGTATCTGAACGGAGCACAGCACGAACCTCTCACTAGCACGGCTAGATGCAGACTGAGCTGCGCAACGCTCTGACCCCAAGATGGCCGCGCTAGCCCCGCCCCTAGCGGACACAGACGGAAACGTAATCTACTTCCTGGATGGCCCTCGTACTTAATATCAAATTTAATATTGATATGTGCTTAAAATCAATTTCATCTCTTCAGTAAGTTTTTAATAAGCATTTTAAATTTGTTAAATCTGTTTTTATGTATTGCAGTTTTCTATCTCTGTGAATAAAATGTAATATGAATTAAAATGTACTGTTTTAAATATGTAATGTTTGAATTCTTGTAATGTTTAAATTCTTGTGCTGACAGTTTATTATTTCTGTATGAAGTAGTAAATAAGAGTTTTATCAATTCGTAATGTAACACAGTCTTGCTCCAAGAAATAGCCATCTTAGTGGCAGTCTTGGCTTCCCAAACTGTGTAAATTGATGTTGGAAGAGCGGAAAAAAAAAACTTTATAGTTTTGACTGTACATTTTTCAACAACATTTAAAAAATATATTATTGTAAATGCATAATGATAATTTTTTCTTGTGTGGTAGTTTCCATGAAGTTTTCATTTTTACATTTTCAGTGTTCAACTATGTGTTGAATAATAAATGTGAGATTTTAAATTATGGTATACAAAAACAGGGCTTTTTTAAAGTTAAATTTTTAAACAAGGTTTTGTAAAGGAATTGTAGTAGGAATTTTGTAAAAGGATTGTAATAAGTAAAGCAAATAAGGTAATGTGTGCCATTTAAAAAAGCTGGGATCATTTATTCTGAACAGAATTATCCCTAGAACAGTGCAATATCAGTCCTGCCTTTACTGCCTGAGATTTCTGCAAGAAGAAAATGTTTGAGATAAAACTCTTCTATAGATTCATGGTCTGATCATTAATCCTTAAGCTTTGTTAACACAAATAATTCTAATTATGCTTGTATACATTGTAACAGATGGATTAAGTTGGTTTTAGCAAATCTTTTTTATTTAAGTTTATATGAGCTTATATTTAAGATAGGAGATTTAAGATTGCAGTTTTATCCATGTGGTCATTAGAGCTATATTTTCCAGTTACTTCAGTGCGGTGCTTTAAAAGCAAATAACATATTCTTATCAATCGACTATAGTATAAAACTTACATAAATAATAAGAGTATAGAATTGGGCATAAATTTAAACCATCTGGACGATTTATGCTGACATCCTTCTAAATTCTTTTAAAAAATTTATTTTCCTTTGTCATTTTTTTAAAAAGTTGTATTTAAAATTGTTCAATTTTTGTAACATTACTTTAGCATTTTCATCATTTCTTCTTGCATTTAAGCTAAATATGTTTTAAAAATTCTAAAAATATTTTTCCAGAGCATATAGTCAGCTTAACGGATACGAATTTGAAGGATACCTCCTCAAAGTGGAGTACAATATGGATCGAGGACCTGGATCTCGAAGTCCACGAGGAGGAGGTCGAGGTGGTATTAGGAATATGCCATTTTCCGGAAATGCAGGATCTCCTCTGCGTGCATCAGATTTTCCATTAAGGTACAGAGCTTATATTTTTCATTGTTTATTAGCTAAAGAGGAGAACTGATGCTAGTTTTAACTTTAAATAAATTATAGGCTTTTAAAGTAAGGTTAAAAAAAAAGTTATTTTATGGAAGTTATAGTAGTAAAAGAGTCGGTTTAAGGAAAGAATTAAATATCGTAATATATCAACTTTTATAATTTTAAGAAAGAAGTTATGCAATAATTGTTTGCATGTATATATAAAGTGACAAAAAATTTTTTAGAAAACTTATTGAAAATGTGCAAAATTACTGTAAAAATGTCCTGATTATAGTAGAAATAATTCTTTGTCAATAACATTCAGTAGCTGTGCAACCACAAAGTCTCTTAAAATATTCAGCATAATATGAATAGCATTATAAATACATCCAACTAATATGTGCTCATTTTAAGCAAGGCATGGTAATTCTGGATTAAACTTTCATTATTTCAAGTTTGTTTAAAATAAGAAATTTAATTTTGCGTGTTTGAAACTTTTTGACAAAGTGAGTGGTTGATCTTTAGTAATAATGACTATTTTTGGTGGTCAGATTTTGTTGTTGGAAATAGTTGAAAAAAGTCAGTCTGTTGTAAAAATGTTTTTGTCAGCATAAATATATTAATTTTATTCAATGAAATTTAAGCATATGGATAATCATATAGTATGCAAGCTATAGCTTTCATTTATTTATTTTTTAAATTGCGCCTTTAAAATGCTACTTAGCTTTGAATGTACGAGAATACGGTGGGGGAAAAGAAGTGATATAATAAAAAAGAATTTCAGTTCTGGTATCTAAAACTTGACATAGATTGTATATTACATGGTTACCAATATATTAATATTTTCATAGTTATAGTTATAACTTTGCAATAAATATTTCTTTATGTGTAGCATTTATAATTCTGCATTTATTTTTCAGGATTCTTGTATTAAGCGATATGGTTGGTGCTATTATTGGACGTGGTGGTGGTACAATTCGTCAGATAACTCAACAGTCCAGAGCAAGGTAACTAAATATTCAGTATCTGCAAATGATGAATACTATATGTATAAAATAAATTATTCATTACTTGGTGCCTTAAAATTTCTCCTGCTTATTCTGTTTTTTAAAGATTTTATAATTTAAAGCTATTAATATATATAATCTTAAATTACTCAGAACTAATCTTGTGTGGCCTATAAAATTTATTCTATTAATTCTTTTTCTTTTGGAGATTTTATATTTTAAATCTATTAGTTTTTACTTTCTAATTAACTGAAATTTCATCATCCAGTATTAAATATTTATAAATATTTAAAAAATATTTTAATACCTTAAATACATTTGATTTGACGTGCATTTGATTAAGCATTTTCTTGGTGTTTTATGCGATCAGGTATTCAGTAATTCTGTTGAATTTTCAGGGTTGATGTTCATAGAAAAGAAAATTCAGGAGCCTTTGATAAAGTAAGTACTTCAAATTTAAGTGCAGATTTAATTATTAAATAAGATTTTGGTCGTTTACTAAGCATTTTGAAATAAAATGATGTATTTGTACTGTCTCTGAATGTGTTTAGTAATAAATCTGTTTTAGGATGAAGTTTTTTCTGTTCAAGTCATTACAATATATGGGAATCCTGAGAATTGCTCGCTTGCTTGCCAGAAAATCCTTGAAGTTATGCAACAAGAGGCAAATAATACTAACAGAGGGTAAGAAATCTGGTTAAATTGTAATGTAAATCAATAACAGTTTAAAAACTTGAAAGATGCAACAATTCTTTTTTCTAGAATTATCATTTTTAACAAAATCTTTTAAAATAAAAGCAAAGGTTAAGAATTGTTTAGGCAGATTGTCAAAAATATCTGACTAAACTATAAATACTTTTATAACCTTGTTAATTACACATTCAGTTGCTAGGTAATGGGTATCACTGTAGCCTTTTATTAACAGGGAGGTAGGCTTGATCTTTCTCTGTGCTTAGATATGCATTGTCTGAGCTTTGATTTAACTGTGCATGCAACACAGTTAAAATAGAAGAGGTTCAACTTGGTGAAAATGTATTTAACCACCAGTTTTGCCCACCAGTTTTGCCCGAACGGCGTTTGGGCACTTGGAAATGGCACTTTTTTTAATTTTCCCGGCATTTTTTTCTAGTCTTAATACACTGATTTGCCTGAATTTTTTGCTTGTTTAGTGTGTAATGTTTCTAACAGATGGCGCTAGTAAATCCAGTAAAGTTAGAATACTATTTCTTTCAAATTTGGAGCTAAAATAAAAGAAGAAATGAATGATATGAGATACTCCCACTGATAAAAAAATTGAGACCAGCAAGGCAATGTTTTATGTGTTGCTCGAAAAGAAACGATTTTGGAAAACGGGTGAGAAAAGAAACGTGATAATTTTTTCCTGATTGCGATGTTAGACTATGCTTGTCTTCCTGTTTTAAAATTTATCATACAAATACTGAATTTTAAAAGGAAAGTTAATGTAATAACAATAAAACATTTTAAATTTTGACATCTATTTTTGTACAAAGTGTTCTTTCCAGTTCGCTTACTTGTTCAAAAAATGCCAACTTTAAGGAAAAATGTGCTTTTTAGGATGAAAATAAAAGTTAGCATAAATCAATAAATTACACTTGTAATAGTTCTGACTGCTGATTTGGGTTTATATATGGAATTTCTTCATAAAAATGTTTATCAAAAATATGCTTAATTTTTGTCATAATAAAAAAGAAAATGTTAAATGGTTAAAAAACTTTGGAGGGAAGGAATTGGAACTCTTAAAAGTTCAGCATAATATGAATAAGATTATAAACACATTAAACTAATATGTACTCATTTTTAAGCAAGAGGTGGTAATTCTGGATTTAAACTTTCATTATTTCTTAATTTTTCTATAGAAAATACAAGTCTTATTCCGAGAAACATCACCTTAACAAAAAGCAACTGTTTCACCTTTGGCAATTTTTTTTAATAGTTACTGAGGCATTTCTTATAGATTAATTTTACATTTCCATCAGTGTCTGAAATCTTAGGAGTATGTGTGTCAATTCCAGTATGGTATCAAAATTTTTTGTCAGCATATATCTTTAATTTAGTAGTGGTTTCATGAGTGACATCACAACTTGAATTGAATGTAGCAGATCTTTATATTTTGGATCAAAAATCGTAATATATATTATGATTATATATAGGGTGTGTGCATATATATATGTATACCCTAACCCCTTAACCCTAAAACAAGATCTCTATTCAGGCATATATTGTCCCATCCCAAAGGTCCCCAAGTATTTTGTCAGTTTCAATATGCTCTAACATGGGCCAAATTTTGTGTGGTTTGGGATTAGGATGTGTGTTAAAATCAAGTTTTGTTATTTTATTTACAAAGTAAAGAAATATTGTATCTCATAAAATCTTATTATGAGGTGTTGAAATTAAATGTTCTTTTTCCTCTAGCTATTTTTTAGTGTCAGTCCCCCCAATACCATGTACAATAACTGTGCTATGAATTGCCAGAATTTCTTCCTTGTTGACAAATATCCAAGGGTTTCTACTCGTGGATAATTTTGGCACTGCTTTGCATATCGGTTAGTTTCTGAAGTCATGAGATGTGCTGAATTGTCATTCGCAGAATACTCAAAACTTTGTAAGACAATAGAGTTTGTATCAAAATTTAAATTTCCCTTTGATGTTCCCAAAAATTTGAAATGTTGGTTGATTATTTATTACAATTTAAGTCCATACTCGTCTAAGCAACAGCAGAGCTCCAATATCAAAGTTCTCAGTTTCACTATCAGAACATTCATAAAAATCAGTTACTTCAGAATCACTCTAAGATCCATCTATAGTAAATTTAAAATCCCAGGTTGCTTTCTGATTCTGACTCCGTAATGTACACAATATTAAAAAATATATTTTATTACAGAACACAAGCCATGTGTGTATTCAAAAGCTTGATTTAGCAAAATAGTACAAGATATATATTTGCAGGGTTCGTAGCGGTCCTTACAAGTGCTTATAAGTCCTTATATTTGAAAATAAAATATAAAGGCCCTTATAGGTGCTTACTTTTTCTTTAAAGCCCTTATTTTTTTGTTTTTAGTGCTTATTTTTTGCTTTTTAGTGCTTTTTTTTAAATCCTTTGTTTTTAATGAACGCACATTTTTTCCCCCGTACCAAAGCCGAAACTAAATAAACAACTTTTCTTTCTTATATGCAACGTCAGATGGTGAATCATACTCCCGGAAAATCGCTTTTCCCCCTTTCTCTGCATTACGTAACCTATGTGCGTGCGAGAATTCCTCCCACCCAAATACTAATTTCTATCAGATTTTAATAATTGCATTCTCGTTCTGCTTGGTCAGTTCATATTCGTGTTTATTATGATCGTTATGCTTATATTATGAGTATATGTATGAATATTTATATTAGTATAGTTGCAGTAACTGCTGAAGTATAGATAAACTTCCAAAAATGGGTGTGTTTTTACACAGATTAGCTTTCTAAGGAATAATATTCGGAATGGCTTAAAGGAAAGTAATCGAATAGTCAAAATAATTTCATTTTCTTTACCAATACATTATACAGTACGGAGGTTGGGAGTTTCTCCGCAAAATCTCTGATATTGAAGCAGCGGACCTTTTTTGGTCACTGTCCAATCTGGATTGAATAGGACTAAAAGTTTTTGCAGTCTACCCAACCCAAGCGAAGATTGATTCTATTCCGGAAATTTAATACAGTCTGTTGAAAATTAGAATCAGAAACACCCCAGATTAGTAAGTCTCTTTCTTTTCCTTTATTTAGTTCTTTTTTTTTTCGAATACCGGCAGGCGTTGATTCCGATTGCATAATATCCCATATGGAGGAATTACGCTGGACGTATTGCGCAATAACGTTTGCGGTAATTTGCATTGATAATTAATTTTGATGTTCAGTCTGAGATTTGTTTATGCACACTTAAAAGAGTTTTACTGTGCTTTCTAAGCTGAATATTTCTCAGTTCCGTTGGTTTTTATATGATGCACATATCGAAATGTCAAAATAATTTATTTAGCTTAAATTTAAATCTAAAGAACAGCTACAATCTCCCCCACTCCTCTTTTTCCAGTTACTATCCGGAATATTCGGGAATTTCGAGTATGTGGGTTAGTTAAGCTTTTACTGTTAAAGGATGACTGAATGAAGCAATTTCCTGCCTTCTGATTTCAGAAATGTGCCTCTTTATTACTTAAATTACTTTCCTTGGGATACATGTTAAGGGGAAAACTGTTATGCAATGAAAATTTAGAAAATGTTCAAAATTTTGATTTAAGTTAAATTATTTAAATATTAATATGAGTGGAAAAATAAATTGTATTTATTATTAGGTGCCAAACGAATACAATTAAAATGGCTTATTATTATTTATTTTCTATATTTTCAACTGAAATATCATCATTAAATTTTCTAATATAGTTTATTATTGCATAGTTTTTTTCTCTCATTGTAAACTAATTCTGTAAATTGAACTGTCATTTAAAATTAAAAAAAAAAAGTTAATTGTTTTCCATTGTTGAGGTAATGCTCATTCTCTTAATAAATATTGCATAGCTCATATTTTAAATTACAAGTCTAATTTTTCTTTAAAGGTTATGCAGTTGTGTATAATGTAATTAGACAGGTGCTTATTTTTCCCTTAAAATGTGCTTATAGGTGCTTATTTTTTTAACTAAAATGTGGCTATGAACCCTGATTTGGCAGGTGCTGGCATCAGTATAAAATAAGCCAGCTATCTCCAATTACATTAAAAATAGTCTGGTACTGCCATCTGGTGTGTAAAATAGAAATTTTTTCTGGGTTAATAAGAAATAGATTGTTTTTAATCTTTTTGGTACATTTTATTTGAACATTATAGCCTGAAATATCATGGCCACGAGAAGAAATATAATTGAACACTCTTTGAAAATAAATTGAAGCCCAATGGTGCAGTGGCTGGCACTTTGGGCAGCAGCACCACAGGTCCGGGGTTCGATTCCCAGGCTGGACAAGGTCGATTCAGCCTTTCATCCCTTGAGTGGGTCGATAAAATGAGTAAAGTTCGCTTGGTGACTAAACACCGAGATCTAGCGACAAACTGACCCCAGGGCATATGCCTCATGTGTGAAGGTACCTCTCTATATATATTTGTGGTTACATCTGTAATAAAATAGCTCAACTTTTGCTATTTTTAATGCCATTTTTTCCCAATTTTCTATATAACACTAAATAAATAGATGCGGATTACAATAAGCACATATGTTTTTTTAAAGTAATTTCCTCACTTTTCCCCTTCCATACGGAAATAAAATTTTGTCTCACAAGTTCTTAAATTTGCAGTTACTCTGTAAGAAACACCAGCTTATCTGGTGTATCTTAAATATGGCTGCATATATAAAAACTGTTAGAGCATGTTATGCATCAGGTGTGAAAAAAATCTGTTAGCAAATGCTCTAAAAGAACATGGAAATTCTTGATTTTTTCTTAATTTTATGTAGATAGTTATTCAGACAAACATTTTGGGTTTAATGTTACTAATTTTGTAATCACTATATCAAAAATCAATGTAGCTGTATATTATTCTTGTGGGAGATTTGTGCTATCTTGTGATGACTATGGGTGGGGCAGTACTTGAAAATGCTACATTGTCTATAATAGATGGAAGAGCAGAAGGTGAATCCACAGTTGACGATACAGATTTTAGAAAATGCTTTTATTCTTCAACAAAAATGTACAGTTAGTATATTTCTGTGTGTAATTTACTCATGGATGTTTGGAAATGTCCACATTTTCGTCCTAAGTGCGTATAAATGTTGCATTTGGCAAGGCTGGGAAAGCTGCTATGTTTGTTAGATTTCTTAGATTTCTAAATCCTCTCACTAGAACTACTGCAGCATATATGTGCTTAAAACTTCTACCATTAAAACAAAGCAGTTATATTCTTAAATACAAACAGTTATATTCATTGTAAATATTTGTACAAATTTTCAAGCTTGTAAAAAATTTTTACTTTTAAAAGCTGGATAAATTAAACATAATTATTTGTTGAAAGTGTCAAAAGTAACATAGGTTTTCCTTTTAATATATCTTTATTTAATAATCCTTTATATATATAAAGGATATATTTAATATATTTAATAATCCTTTATCTACTACCACAAAAAAATCTATACTTTTCTGTTTTGGGACTGGATTCAGAAATGTGTGTATGGATGTATGTGGGGACATGCATATATTCCTACATTTCTGAATCTGGTCCTGATAACAGGAGAGTATACCAAAAAATCTGCATTACTTGTATTTTTAAGAAACAGTCTTACCTAATGAATTACCTAACTAGGTATCTAATAAAGTAATCATAAGTTGTAACTAGTTTCCTATGGTTATTTAAAAAATACTTATTTTCACAAAAGGTGTATTATTTATTGCACATAAAAATTAGAGCCAGTATCATGGTGTTATATCTTAAGTTGATTATAAAACTAATTCTTAGGAAGTGTTAACACTAAAAGTTAATGTTTCCAATATGAATGTAGTCATTTTATAATAAATGGATTCAGGTAGGGAAATGGTTGGGTTTTTGAACAAATTCTTTGTGGACATTTTAATAGTATTATTACTTCTAAATATAAATTTTGGTTTATTTTTAAAATATATTTTATTTTTAATAGGGAAGTTCCTTTAAAAATATTAGCTCACAATAATTTAATAGGAAGAATCATTGGAAAAAATGGTGTCACTATTAAGCGCATCATGGAAGCAACTGATACCAAGATTACTGTATCCAGGTAATTATATTAATGACATTTATAAATACTGTTTGTGAATTTATTCTTTTAAGAATAAATAATGAATTTGAAACTGAGTTGTATATATTTTTCTTTTGTATGGTATGTCATTCCGTAAGGCATAACTTAAACATAGCATAAAGTTTCATATTCAGCAATTTGTTAGGTTTTTTAGCTTAAAAAGACTTAGATTTTATTTAATAAATTAATAATTTAATTACAGTAATGGTATCCGCATTACTTGTAATTATATAAAATATATAAATTTGAGAATTTGTCAAATTTTAATATTTAAAAAATTTACCATTTCTCAAATTTATAATATATATATTTGCATTAATTTAGGATATTGAAGTAATTACTGCTTTGCACCTTTTAATGTCTTTAGTAGTTTGTGTTTAGTTACATATTGCCATTATATTTTTTTTGTGGAAAATCTTATTCCTCGATCTTTGCAAATTTTGTTATCAAATTATTTAGTTTCTCATACATGTTCTTAGTTAAATTACTCTTAAAAGTTTGTATCTATGATTCTCCATGATTAGTTTCGATGTGCAAGTTTATTTAATAAATCTTTTTTTACCATGTCCTTTCAGTTTTGTAATATCGCAGGATGCCAAAGATATTTTAAATCTTAGTTTTATATTTTGTGTGCTGTAGTGATAGTCTGTAGTTTCGTTCAACTTGACAAATAATTATAATTGCGTGGAAAGTAAAATGATGTATACCGAATGCTACCAAGGTTTTTCGTCAAGAATTTTTTTGAAATCTAATCTTTCCCATTGATGTACTGACTACCGACAGTGCTTTTGTCATATATTCTTTGAAGTATAGCCATTGTTCAGTTTCATTTAAATTGCAGAGCACACTTTCTGAAATTAAACATAATTTTCACATATTTTAAGGTCTAGAAAGAGAGATCATAATTAAGATTTAGCATTTTAAGTTTCTGAGATGCTAAAATAAACATAACTGTGATATCAAACTGTCAGATTTAACAGGATTATAGTAGTAGAAAAGTATTTCATGATATTATTAAATTTATAATTTTAAATAAGTTTTTTGGTATCCAACAAAAATTAGAATGGGTAAAATATATACACAGAGTGTCTGCCTCTCAAAAGGACTCCTTTATGTATAAAATTAAAAATGTCGATAAAAATTCTAGCTTAAATTTTGCAAGAATCTCATAATTCTCTACTTTAATTTGATTATGTGCCCTTTCTGCCTTTCGTAACTGCTTTTATCGCTTTCAGTTTAGTCGTTTCAGAATTGTTTTCAAATGATTCTTACAAAATGCTAATGGTGGAAGCATTTACAGAATGCTTCAGTCAATAATTGAAATTTGGGAGTTGAAATGAGGAAGGAAAAAGCTCAACTAAATATATCTTTTTATCTTAGCCATGGCGCATATCTTCTCTTTGTTGCTTTATAATCTTACTGACTGCTGATCTTTCTTTCTTCAGTTACTAAAATTGTAAAAATCCAGTATAGACTGGGCAATTTCAGAGCCAATTTATCTGTCTTCATCAAATATATTTGCCTACAACAAAAAGATTATTTCCTCCCCCAAAAAACACAACGTTTATTGCATGCATTAAGTTCTTCAGAAATTGGCTGTCATTGTTAAAAAATACATCTAAATTATGAACACGCAGAGCAAGTATTAATTTAGAAGTCAAACAACATGATGCCGATTTTTGTTCGACCTTCTAAATTAATACATCTAAATTATTTCATATACAGTATTTACTTTTATTTGCATTTTCCCTTCCTTTCCTACTTATTTTACTCCTTGGAAACCAGGAGGGAAATAATATGGCTTTAATAAATAATAAGTACATTAAAAGCATACATAGGCACATTAATAGTACTTCAAAGGACTTCACAATTTGAATATTCTTTTTATTTTCAAAAAATACTTTTCACTTGCACATACATTTTTCAGTGTTACCTTAAATCAGTAGTTTCTAAATCATGCTGAAAAAATTAGGTGAGGAATTGTGTACACACGTGTGAGTGAGGAAGGGAGGCAGTGCGTGTGTGTGTATTGAAGACATTAAGTGCTTAAAGTTGTAGTCATGGGCAATGCAAATTTTTTAGAGAAGTGCACAGTGAATGCATGATGTTAAAGATGAAATCTTTGTTCAGCTTTGTTGCTGTTGGCCCAATTTTGGTTCCAAATTTTGAAATCATTGCCCTTATGTAAATATCTGAGTGATAAATATCGTACTCAAATCAGATAAAAAACGATTCATTTTTCATTCAATTTAGAGCGATTTATTATAAGCAGTTAATATTTTTAATGTGGAAAGTGGAAAATACCTAAATTAAAATGTAGAGTTAAGGAACTATTTGCAAATTAATGTTAGTGTTTTGTCTCATCTAGTTTTTATCTTACACGAATGTAGAGATTCAGCGCTTTCAGGTAAATAATTGGGGAACTGTTTTGATATTGGCAAAGTATGTAGGAACTTTCTGCCTAAAGGAATGAATCCACATCATGCATGGGAAAAACCAGAAAAACAGCCTAATTACCTGGAATGAAACCCTTGTCTACTTTTGAACAAATGTTAAACTACTCATGTTTGGTGAGTGGCTGTTGGTGGGCTATTTGTAATGTTTCATATTAATGCATAACTGCCAACTGTCCTGGCAAAACTGGGAGAGACTTTTTATATCAATTTTTAATTTTTGGCTTCTTACGGAAGATGTTTCCAAGCAAAAAATAAAATTTACTGAAGTAAAGAAATTTTTATACAAAGAATGAAGCCTAGAAAATCTAATTAAATATTAATATTTTATCTTGGAATAATATAAATATTTAATAACTTGAGTTCTGCATTTTAAAATGAATTATGGTGGTTTCAAGATCCGAAATGTTTTTATTGAAAATTTATTTTTTAAATGATTTTTTTGACATAAATTCGAAATAAATTGACATTAAATTGCTAAGCAGTGCTCTTTCAGCATGGGCTCATATTACAACAAAATGGGCTGGTTGCTTGTGCATTTTCTTGGTTACCCTTACGTAATGTAGATACAAGCTAGTTTAGGCATCCTTTCCCAGCGGATGATCTTGCTTTGCCTTTATCAATTAACCTAACACAACTAAATTCTGTTATTTAAGTGTGCCACTTCCATATCCATCTACTCTCAATCTGATTACTGCACTAACTGAAAATGTATTGTTAAAACACCGACTTTTGAAACTCTAAAATACATCATCAAGCTGTAAATGTTTTGATGCTGCAGATGTAATATTTTGTAGAGAAGAAAAAACCCTTCTCTTATAGAATTAGATGTGCTGTGTTCTAGATCAGGAATGTATCAGGCCTGTATCAGAAAGTGACTTTAGGAGTTAAACTATTAAATGTTAGGTATGGAGAACTAATGAAGAAATGCAGTAAGGTTGGTTTAATATCTCCAGTCAATTAATAATTTATATATGTGTATGAATCCTTGGAACTCTGTACATTTCATGGAAACTTGATACATTGTTAACACCACCTATGAATTTTTTGATCAGCAGTGCAGTAAATGTATCAAATTTTAAGAATGAAGCAGTATCAAGCCTATGCATGGTTATTCAGCACATATACTACCATGTTATTCAAATCGATATATTACTAGATTATCTCAACCACATTTAATGATCTGGTTTAAATATACTATCTGAAATATATTGGAACTTGAAAAGCAACTTGCCATTTGTGGAAGTGAACAGTGAAAAAAGAGTGGAAGACAATAGATGTGGTAAGATTATTCATTTAAAAATACTTAATATGCCAATCGAACAAAATCTTGAAGATATTTCATTTGTAGGTAGCTTTAGTCACTGGATAAAATCTGAAAAACTAATGGCAGCATTTCTGAGGCTGTTCATTAGTCAAGATCTTAAAAAGTGATCTTAAAAAGCTTGAAAAATCTTTATAAACCATGCATAAAATTCAGTAAAAAAAAGAAGCAAGTGTTATCGGTACATTTTTAAACATTTTTTTCTACCAAAATATGGAATGAAAAGGAAAAAGAGCTTAAAACTTTTGAAATTGTTGTTTGTTAGTATATATGTGTGTGTGAATAAATTAATTTTAACAATGAAAATGATTTTACTAGCAACTGATGCCAAAACACTGGCTAGATATGTTTTTTTATGCTTGTCAATAAAATTATGTTAAGTTTACATTCTGTAATTTTTATATTTATGTATAAAGATATGCATTACACTTCTTTCTATCATCTAATTAAGAGATTTAATTACTTTTAAAACCTTCAATGAATGGTTAATAATTTATTAAGGTTATTTAGAGGGGAAGAAAATCCGATTTAAATGAAAAATTCAATGTTTTTAAATCATATTTTTATAACTTGGTTGAATTAATTATGTATTTTGAAAGTGTACATATACTAGCTATTTAAATTTTATTATAAGTATTCCAGTTAAATATGCATCTGTAAGATCCATATCACACATGCATTTGTTTCATATGAACAACTGTTTCAGTGTTTCTGCCTGGTTTGCTATTGAAAGAAAGACACATGATTTTTCGAATGCTATCAACTTGATTGTAATGGAGAACCAGTTTCCCCTTTACATGTTAACCCCGAAGTGATCTGTGGTGATTGACTGTTATGAGAAAGCAAAAAAATTGTTCTAAGCAGTTTTTCTGAAACAGATGGATGTGTGATAGTAGCTTAAGATATAAATATGTCAGATTGGTTTCCATCAATTCCAGATGTTAATAATAGAATTAATTTGGGTGTTTCTTACAGCAGCATCCATGATGTGAGCAGCTTTAACTTTGAGCGTATCATTACAATAAAAGGGAAATTGGAAAACATATGCAAAGCCGAACAAATGATCAGCAGTAAGCTGCGGCAGAGTTATGAAAACGACTTAGCTGCCATGGCACCATCTGCCATGATGTTTCCTGGTCTCCATCCTATGGCAATGATGTCAACCATTGGAAACTCTGGATATCCTCCTGGTCGTGGTGGACCTGCTCCTCCCCCGCCCCCACCTTATGGAATGTATGGCACACCACCTCCATATAACGTACCCATGATGTATTCTCCAACAGCCCCACCTCCTCAAAATATGGAACCAGTAAAAGAAACAGTGTACCTATACATTCCAAACTCTGCTGTTGGAGCCATTATTGGAACTGGAGGAAGTACTATTAGAGACATGATCAGTTCTTCTGGTGCTAGTATTAAAGTAGGCTGTAATCGTTTTTAAATTTATAAAAATTATTAGAGCAGAATTTACTCTAATATTACATTGGAATTTCAAAAAGTTTCCTGGATTGCAAAATTGGTTTCATATTTTTAACTTTGACCAGATTATAATATAATAAAACTAGGCAGATGAGAGCAAAATTTAATACTGAACCTTCTGAATTCCTGAATTTATGTAGTCTGCAGGATCCTGTAACTCTTGAGTATTTAACCGTTTTGAGTCCCAGGGGGTATATTGAAGGAAAAAAAAAACTATCAAACAATCCCAAACAGTGCAACCGCGCTTTCTCTAAATGAGTTCGAAAAGACCCAAGCAGGAGGATAGCGCATGTTTTATTTCATGTTGAGAAATACCAAGCGGTGCGACAGCGCTTTATTTTACATCGTTAAATCCCAATCTGAGCATTCTTGTATTTGTTAGGTAACGCGATTCTCGTCTTTTTCTCATTGCTCTGTCATATTTATTGCAGTTTTCAAAGTGATCAGGAATATTCTTGCGTGTGTGTCTCATTTTATCCACAATGTTCAAAATGTACTGGGTTTTTTGACATAAAATCTCAACATCGCGATCACGCTGCTTTGGAACTCAAGCGGTTAAACTTTTTATGAAAGTTCAAAATAAAAATCATAAAATTTTTTTTAAAGTTCTGTCTCCTATACAGTAGTAAAAAAAAAAGTGGAAAGTAGATAATATAAATAGTAACTTGAAAAATAAATGTCACATATTTCAAATGTTTTAATTTTAGGAGTCGAAGAATGTAATGTCGCGGTTAAACTCTTTATGAAAGTTCAAAATAAAAATCATAAAAATTTTTTTAAAGTTCTGTCTCCTATACAGTAGTAAAAAAAAAAGTGGAAAGTAGATAATATAAATAGTAACTTGAAAAATAAATGTCACATATTTCAAATGTTTTAATTTTAGGAGTCGAAGAATGTAATGTCAAAATGAAGAGCGTGTTTTAGCACAAAATATTCAAATAAAAGTTTTTAAAATTTCCTTAAAAATGCATATTTTATAAATTTATTAATTTTGCAAAGGAAAACAATAATAGAAATTGCTTTAAAATTGGATCTTGAATAGGAAGTAAAAATTGATAAATCTGATTAGCATATTCTGTAACCATAGATAGGTTTCCTGAGCTATAAAACTATTTGTTTAGGTAATGCATATTTTGGAAAAATATCTTCTTGATAGACACTCGAACAAACAATTGTATGTGCTATACTTTATAATTATTTAATTAATCGAGCCTTAATAACAGCTAAAGTCTCAACTGAAAGGGAAAAAGTATTTTGTATAAAAAATGTTTTTTGGTTGTGTGTATATGGAAACAATTATAAACTGTTTTTTTCTTGAAATGTTTGGTTTTCTAATCAGATATTTATTAATGAAGCTTTGCATAAGTTTGAATGAATAAAATGTGTTTTCTTACAAAATCAGATAAAAACTACAAATGGATCAGAATCTACCAGCCAACTCAAATTTCTTAGGAAGCATCTTTTCCTTTTTTCTGAAAATTTCAGCTTTGAATACTGTAGGGAAACTTTTCTTATCAAAACCCATGTGTTTGGATGTATAGCAAAATTTCTTGCATGAAACAAAATTTTTATGATAGCCTTTGAAGTATGAGAACTTGAATATTCTAGCTATTCATTAAAATATTTGCTGAATAGGACAGGAGTTACGAGACCTTGATTACTACACATGCATAATTATTGCTCTCAGGTCTGCAGTTCAGGTTAGTAGAATTTAAAAAATGGTCATAATTTAACAACGAAAAACAGCGTGCATTTTATTTCACATTATCGATTTGCATTCATGTTACGTAAATGGCATTTACTAAATCGGCAGAATTTGACATGGTATAAGCTATATATGTGAGAATATTTTTAAATTTTTGAGCGTGTTTTTAAAGAGGTGTATTGTTGCATTTTCTAGTAAAGATATTTAAAATTTGTCATCGTATCACAGTAAAAGATTTTTTTAAATTAAAGTTGTCAAAGGTCTTTGAATTAGTTTCTTCCATTTTTTTGGAAAGGGTTAAGAGTAATTTATTCATAATATTCAGTAATTATGTATTGTCTATTCAACCTTATGTAACTGAATATTTAAGTTATCTGGAGTTCCCTATTAATCTGAAGTACTGTTAGAAGATTTTTAACAAAATTTTAGATTTTTGGCTGTTGAAAGATTTTGAAAGCAGTGAGAAAGTGGTAAATCAGGTATTAAAATATACTTTAGCATTTGCAGTTAGTGACTTCAGGTTGGAAATGCAAACGATAGTATTTGCTAGTGATTTATAAAAGTTGAATAGAAGGGAAAAGAAAAATCTGCTTCCATAGAGAGATTGGCAGCTGTGAAAATAAATGTCTCTGAATGTGAATGTTTTGTAGCTAAAAAGCATGCAGTTATTTAAAAATGCTTGCGAGAAGGAAATTTCTTACTTATTAAATTTTTTATTTGAATGCAGTATTTATGTTTATTACTTTTTCATTGAAGGTTGCTCAGACTAATAAAGATGAACCTATAGATCGTCAGGCACAAAGGAAAGTAACAATTGTTGGCACGCCAGAAGCACAGTGGAAGGTATTCTACTTTATTTCTTTAACTCTGAGTAACATGACATTTTTTCTTATATGATGTATATTACCTTATTTAATCTTCGAGTGGCATGACCAGCTAACTGGTCATGGGCGGGGTTCGTAGCGGTCCTTACAAGTGCTTGTAAGTCCTTATAGTTGAAAATAAAATATAAAGGCTCTTATAGGTGCTTACTTTTTCTTTAAAGCCCCCCTTTTTTTTTGTTTTTTTTTTGTTTTTATTGCTTATTTTTTGTTTTAGTGCTTTTTTTTTTATCCTTTATTTTTAATGAACGCGCATTTTTTACCCGTACCAAAGCCGAAACTAAATAAACAATTTTTCTTCCTTATATGCAACGTCAGATGGTGAATCATACTCCCGAAAATTGCTTTCTACAGACAGGTGCACGTGGTTTATTGGCCAAAGAATTGCGAAAACATTCCATTGGCCAAAGAATTGCGAAAACGTAAAATCTTGATAGCAAATCAAACATGTGTAGTATTGGGTGGGAGGAAATAAATTTACATTCTCGTTCCGCGTGGTCAGTTCATATTCGTGTTTATTATGATCATTATGCTTATATTATGAGCATATGTATGAATATTTATAATAATATAATTGCAGTAACTGCTGAAGTGTAGATAAACTTCCAAAATTGGGTGTGTTTTTACACAGATTAGCTTTCTAAGGAATAATATTCGGAATGGCTAAATAAAAGGAAAGTAATCGAATAGTCAAAATAATTTCATTTTCTTTGCCAATACATTATACAGTACGGAGGTTGGGAGTTTCTCCGCAAAATCTGTAATATTGAAGCAGCGGACTTTTTTTTTTTTTTTTTTTTTTTGTCGCTGTTCAATCTGGATTGAATAGGACTAAAAGTTTTTGCGGTCTACCCAACCCAAGCGAAGATTGATTCTATTCCGGAAATTTAATGCAGTCTGTTGAAAATTAGAATTGGAAACACCCCAGATTAGTAAGTCTCTTTCTTTTCCTTTATTTAATTCTTTATTCTCTGAATACCGGCAGCTGTTGATTCCGATTGCGTAATATCACATGTCGTAAAATTACGCAGTGTGCATTGCGCAATAACATTTGCAGTATTTTGCAGAGATAATTAATTTTGATGTTCAGTCTGAGATTTGTTTATGAACACTTAAAAGACTTTTACTGCGCTTTCTAAGCAGAATATTTCTGAGTTCCGTTGGTCTATTTTTATATGATGCACATATCGAAATGTCAAAATCATTTATTTAGCCGAGAAATCTAAAGAATGGCTACAATCTCCCCCCCCCACTCCTCTTTTTCCAGTTACTAACCGGAATATTCGGCAATTTCCGAGTGTGCGGGTTAGTTAAGCTTTTACTGTTAAAGGATGACTGCATGAAGCAATTTCCTGTCTTCTGATTTCAGAAATGTTCCTCTTTTTTACTTAAATTACTTTGCTTGGAATATATGTTAAGGAAAAACTGTTATGCAATGAAAATTTAGAAAATGTTAAAATTTTGATTTAAGTTAAATTATTTAAATATTAATAGGAGTGTAAAAATAAATTGTATTTATTATTAGGTGCCAAACAAATACAATTAATATGGCTTATTATTATTTATTTTCTATATTTTGAACTGAAATTTCATCATTAAATCTTGTAATATAGCTTAGTTCTGCATAGTTTTTTTTTCTGTCATTGTAAACTAAATCTGTAAATTGAACTGTCATTTAAAAATTTTTCATGATTGAGGTAATGCTCATTCCCTTAATAAATATTGCATTGCTTATATTTTAAATTACATGTCTAATTTTTCTTTTAAGGTTATGCAGTTGTGTATAATGTAATTAGACAGGTGCTTATTTTTTTTTTAACTAAAATGTGGCTATGAACCCTGCATGGGATTTTTTTGTCAAATGTCTTAATGGACATTTACAAAAACAGAGATTCAAATAAGTAATTATGCATATTTAGCTAATAAATGCTGTTTAAATATGTCTCACGAGCAGGTCCAAAAAGCTGTGCCAACTTGGAGGGCTAAATGTAAAAGTTTTGTGCGACTGATTGACTCAACAATTCACAAAGATCCAATTGTAATGCTCATGACAGATACTTAAGTCTGTTGGTATGTCCAAGTTTGAGCTTCACTACATTTTCATTCTTTGACATTGATTCCATATACTAAAATAACAAACTATCAAACCTCATGATAGATTAACCCATTTGAGATTGAAGTCCTTGATTCTATATACTTAAATAACAAAAAATATCAAAGCTTATGATAGAGAGATAACCCATTTGAGACTGAAGTCCTGATCCCTTGGAATACATGAGAGTTAAAACAAATCAGTCCGCAGGATGAGGGGTTTTTGCATCGCTAAGCCTTTCAGGGTGGGAAGTACCAGTGTCCATTTTTGGTAACCATTTTAGATTATTACAAATGCTATGGTATAAGTTAAAATTTACATTGAAAATATGCCTAAAAAATTTCTTTTATTGTGAAACAATTTTTGAAAGCGATATTCAAATAAGTTCTAATTGACAAAATACAGTAAATATTAAAATTTATGGAAAAAACAGGAAGACTATTTACAAGGAGAAATAATAAAATCTTAAATGGTTTGTCTCTGACAAAATGTCTATCAGAATCACTAGAAATATTTGCTCTCCGACTCTTTAAAAAATGAAATCATCACTCTTATCCATGGCACTAATTGCCTCATTTAAACATGCAACTGTATTCTTTCTCTGATAAATGTTTCCTTGCCGCAATAAACTGAAGTCAAGGCTGTTCGAAATAAAAAGGGAAGTATGTGTAATGTAATTGATAAAAGCAATGAAAAGCATAATAAAACCCCACATAGGAACCCTGAAAGACCTTATAAGCAGCAAAATCCATCTTGGGGAGGGGAGAACAGAGTTAAAAGCAAAGTTCACAATTATTCCAACATGGAAGCTTATTAATCGGTTCGGGACGAGCGTGTCGTGTGCAATACCAGCAAACATTATACCAGTGCCGGGTGTGTTGTATATGGATCACATTTAATTCACTCAGTGGCGGGGCGTATCGCCTATGATGTTTTAGATGGAAGATTTAAATAGTGTTTTTTGTTGCCACAAGATGTAGCTGTATGTCTGTTATGATGAAATGTATCGAAAGTGAAGCATATTGACCTTCATTCCTATGGAATATTTTTTATTTTTGGTATTTTGTTTTGGAATGCGAGAGAGTTTCATCATTAAGGTGTATATTTTGTATGGTTTAATGAATTATTTTTACACCTAAATGGCAAAACAAAAACCGTATTTAACAGAAGAATATACACGAATGATAAATCAATCAATCAGTCTTACAGTGATGATATTTTTGCAGAATTAGAAAATGATAGTTACAGAGATTCTGATATGGACATTTTTTATTTATATGTATGTATTTGAGTTATGTCGAATTACGTATGCTGTTTTTTAATAATTTTTATTAATGTGTTGCATTAAATAAAATGTTTCTGCTATTATTTGAGGTCTGTTAAAAATTGTTACTCTAGAATTATTTTATAAAATTTTTAAGGAAAATACAACGATAAAGTTTAAAAAAATAATTTGGTAACTACCTGAATGCTCCTTTTATAAGTACCAAAAATTGGAGCAATTAGATGACAAATTTAATTAACGGAATTTTTTTCCCGAAGTTAAGCACAAAATGCCCGTTCCCACAAGACAATTCATCTGGTTAGCATGCCACTCTGAGGGAGTGGTTCAGTGACTGTGCTACCTGTACAAATGGGTTAAGTGAAGTTTTGATTCTTGAAATTTTGAGTTCCGAATTAGCTGCCATCAGCAGCATTATGTTAGTCATATGTATTGGATTGATCTGGAAATACATGTGAAGGTTGTATACTGACAGATTATTCATTCAAATCTTGCATAAACTATAGCTGTTTTGCACAGTTTTTCTTCAGGTTTGCTACTTGAGGAATTTTAAAAACAATGCTTTGTTACTTAATAAATAAAGGAAAGCGATTAAGCTTTTTCTCTTTGAAAATGTTTGAGAAATGACTGTTTCAAAGGACAAAATTTGGAATAAACAGATTATAATGTTATCAAACAAGCATTGTAAAGTTAGGATTTTAAAAAAGGAAAATTTTAGTATTATTAATTGTTAATCTATTGTTTAGCATTGTTAAACAAATAAGCTCATTATCTCAAATGTTTAGTTTCAGCATGCAGGCAGTATGATGCTTATTTCAAATTTTTCTTTTTTATCAATTCCTTGAATATTATATATTCTAGGCTCAGTATATGATCTTCAAGAAAGTCAGTTGTGAAGCATATGTTGGAACTGAAGAAATTTCTGGTCTCAAAGTAGAAATATATGTACCTTCTAACCAAGTAGGAAGAATAATAGGAAAAGGTGGTCAAACTGTAAGTTTCAGTAAATTCTTTTTGTTTAAATTTTTGTATTATAATACTACCATTTGTTTGTTTATTAGCATTTAAAGAAGTGCAGTGAAGAAATGAATATTTTCAAATTATATTCCAATATAAAACAGAATTTAATGGTTAGACGATTATAACGACGGAAATGCAAATTTGAAGTTTTCGTTTTAGGCTCATTTACAATATACAAAAATATTGCTTGCAGGATGCTTTTGATTTACCATGTATATTCTTTTACCATTGGATATTGAAAACCGAGGACTCATTTTAATTTAACTCCAATAATATATACAGATAAAATCTTATTAAAAAGTTGTACACTTTAAAGTAAAACACTTGTAAAGTTTTCTTTTACATCTCATCTCAATATCATCATGCCATATTGCACATTTCATCTCAATATTTAATCACATTGGTCTATACTAGAGAGTAAATTTCCAGAGCTGTCATATACTAACCTTTCATCAGTAGATGTAGGAATTATGTATGTGCAGCTGATTTTTTCTATCAGTAAACAACACTTATTCGATAACACTGTATTAGGCTGCTATCACACATTGGTTTGTTTCGGAAGAACAAACATGTTTGGAACAATTTTTCTGCTTTGTCACAACAGCCAATCACCATAGATCGCTTTTGGGTTAACACATGGGAAACTGGTTCCCCATTACAAACTAGCTGATAGGTTGAAAACGAACAACATGCGATTTTTTTGGAAAGGAAGGAAAGAAAAGGCTTTGCAGTCCAGCTCCAAGGTGCTTACAATAAGTTTCTTTCTTTAACTGCAAAAATAAAGAAGTTAGATCTCTATGCTGCGAACATGTTTCTTTATACACGCTATCTAGAACATTCGTTCCTGTTAGACAGCTTTTTGTACATGAATAGATAATTACATAGGGAAATGTTGATAAGAAGGTCAGTGTTATTGAAATAAAGCCATCGTACAAAATTACATGTAGAGCATAATGCTGAATTGCAATTCATGTTATTGTGAAAAGGTTTGCAGTCCAGCTCCAGGTGCTTACATTTTCTTGGCGTTCTTTAACTGCAAAAATAAAGAAAGATCTCTATGCTGCTGAACTCTGTAGTTCTTTTGCACGCTATCTAAGAACATTCGTTCCGTTGGCAGCTTTTTGTACACGAAAGTATAATTAAAGGGAAATGTTGTGATATGAGGTCAGTGTTATTGAAATAAAGCCATCGTACAAATTTGGTAGAGCAGTAATTCTGAATTGCAAAGTTTCTGTTATTGTAGAAAAGGTTTTGCAGTCCAGCCAAGTGCTTACATAAGTTTCTTGGCGTTCTTTAACTGCAAAAATAAAGAAGTTGATCTCTATGCGCTGAACGCTGTAGTTTCTTTATGCACGCTTCTAAGAACATTTGTTCCTGTTGGACAGCTTTTGTACCGATGGAATAGTATATTACAGAGGGAAAATGTTGATATAAGGTCAGTGTTATTGAAAATAAAGCTAGTACAAATATTACATTAGAGCATAATGCTGAATTGCAAAGTTCGCATATTCCTTTGGAAAAAGGCTTTGCAGTCCAGCTCCAAGGTGCTTACAATAAGTTTCTTGGCGTTCTTTAACTGCAAAAATAAAGAAGTTAGATCTCTATGCTGCTGAACTCTGTAGTTCTTTATGCACGCTATCTAAGAACATTCGTTCCTGTTGGACAGCTTTTTGTATACGAATAGTATAATTACGGAGGGAAAATGTTGTGATATGAAGGTCAGTGTTATTGAAATAAAGCCATCGTACAAATATTAAATTGTAGAGCAGTAATGCTGAATTGCAAATTTCAGTGTTATTGTGGAAAAGGTTTTGCGGTCCAGCTCCAAGGTGCTTACAATAAGTTTCTTGGTGTTCTTTAACTGCAAAAATAAAGAAGTTAGATCTCTATGCTGGTGAAATCCGTAGTTCTTTATGCACGCTATCTAAGAACATTCGTTCCTGTTGGACAGCCTTTTGTACACGAATAGTATAATTACAGAGGGAAAATGTTGTGATATGAAGGTCAGTGTTATTGAAATAAAGCTATTGTACAAATATTACATTGTAGAGCAGTAATGTTGAATTGCAAAGTTCAGCATTATTTATTTTGAAAAGGCATTGCAGTCCAGCTCCAAGGTGCTTACAATAAGTTTCTTGGCGTTCTTTAACTGCAAAAATAAAGAAGTTAGATCTCTATGCTGCTGAACTCTGTAGTTCTTTATGCACGCTATCTAAGAACATTTGTTCCTGTTGGACAGCCTTTTGTAGACGAATAGTATAATTACGGAGGGAAAATGTCGTGATATGAAGGTCGGTGTTATTGAAATAAAGCCATCGTACAAATATTAATTGTAGAGCAGTAATGCTGAATTGCAAGTTTCAGTGTTATTGTGGAAAAGGTTTTGCGGGTCCAGCTCCAAGGTGCTTACAATAAGTTTCTTGGTGTTCTTTAACTGCAAAAATAAAGAAGTTAGATCTCTATGCTGGTGAAATCTGTAGTTCTTTATGCACGCTATCTAAGAACATTCGTTCCTGTTGGACAGCCTTTTGTACACGAATAGTATAATTACAGAGGGAAAATGTTGTGATATGAAGGTCAGTGTTATTGAAATAAAGCTATCGTACAAATATTACGTTGTAGAGCAGTAATGCTGAATTGCAAAGTTCAGCATTATTTATTTTGGAAAAGGCTTTGCAGTCCAGCTCCAAGGTGCTTACAATAAGTTTCTTGGCGTTCTTTAACTGCAAAAATAAAGAAGTTAGATCTCTATGCTGCTGAACTCTGTAGTTCTTTATGCACGCTATCTAAGAACATTCGTTCCTGTTGGACAGCTTTTTGTATACGAATAGTATAATTACGGAGGGAAAATGTCGTGATATGAAGGTCGGTGTTCTTGAAATAAAGCCATCGTATAAATATTACATTGTAGAGCAGTAATGCTGAATTGCAAAGTTCAGTGTTATTGTGGAAAAGGTTTTGCAGTCCAGCTCCAAGGTGCTTACAATAAGTTTCTTGGCGTTCTTTAACTGCAAAAATAAAGAATTTAGATCTCTATGCTGGTGAACTCTGTAGTTCTTTATGCACGCTATCTAAGAACATTCGTTCCTGTTGGACAGCCTTTTGTACACGAATAGTATAATTACAGAGGGAAAATGTTGTGATATGAAGGTCAGTGTTATTGAAATAAAGCTATCGTACAAATATTACGTTGTAGAGCAGTAATGCTGAATTGCAAAGTTCAGCATTATTTATTTTGGAAAAGGCTTTGCAGTCCAGCTCCAAGGTGCTTACAATAAGTTTCTTGGCGTTCTTTAACTGCAAAAATAAAGAAGTTAGATCTCTATGCTGCTGAACTCTGTAGTTCTTTATGCACGCTATCTAAGAACATTCGTTCCTGTTGGACAGCTTTTTGTACACGAATAGTATTAATTACAGAGGGAAAATGTGATATGAAGGTCGGTGTTCTTGAAATAAAGCCATCGTACAAATAATACATTGTAGAGCAGTAATGCTGAATTGCAAAGTTCAGTGTTATTGTGGAAAAGGCTTTGCAGTCCAGCTCCAAGGTGCTTACAATAAGTTTCTTGGCGTTCTTTAACTGCAAAAATAAAGAATTAGATCTCTATGCTGGTGAACTCTGTAGTTCTTAGCACGCTATCTAAGAACATTCGTTCCTGTTGGACAGCCTTTTGTACACGAATAGTATAATTACAGAGGGAAAATGTTGTGATATGAAGGTCAGTGTTATTGAAATAAGCTATCGTACAAATATTACATTGTAGAGCAGTAATGCTGAATTCAAAGTTTCAGCATTATTTATTTGGAAAAGGCTTGCAGTCCAGCTCCAAGGTGCTTACAATAAGTTTCTTGGCGTCTTTAACTGCAAAAATAAAGAAGTTAGATCTCTATGCTGTGAACTCGTAGTTCTTTATGCACGCTATCTAAGAACATTCGTTCTGTTGGACAGCTTTTGTACACGAATAGTATTAATTACAGAGGGGAAAATGTGATATGAAGGTCGGTGTTCTTGAAATAAAGCCATCGTACAAATAATACATTGTAGAGCAGTAATGCTGAATTGCAAAGTTCAGTGTTATTGTGGAAAAGGCTTTGCAGTCCAGCTCCAAGGTGCTTACAATAAGTTTCTTGGCGTTCTTTAACTGCAAAAATAAAGAAGTTAGATCTCTATGCTGCTGAACTCTGTAGTTCTTTATGCACGCTATCTAACAACATTCGTTCCTGTTGGACAGCTTTTTGTAACGAATAGTATAATTACGGAGGGAAAATGTTGTGATATGGAGGTGAGTGTTTTTGAAATAAAGGTGTTGTACAAATATTACATTCAAAAGTGAGTTCCGCTAATCTGCACTCGTCAAGGGTTTACTTTTACTATATTATGGATTACAGTTCGCTGTATGTTCATTGTTAGAAAATTTGATGTGTATCGCCAAACGTATTATCTCTATTCCAAAATTCATATATACATTGGCTTTCTAGTGAATGTCTAGTTTTACAAATTCCTATAAGTATTTCCATTTTGATTTGAAGGTTGTAAGAAATGAAACTGGTCCATGTTATTTTGGATGAAGTCAACAAGGTGCAGTTGCAGTTTGTTCTAATGTTCTTGATTATGTGTTGTAAGATTAATAAGTTTATGAGTATATTTATAAAAATTTTGTGATGTTCTGAATGTTGCTATTTTTATTTAGGAAGTTTTTAATTCAGTAACTAATTCTGACGAACTTGATATGAGGATAATATTTTTATTCAATTTTATCAAAATATTCAGACCTCCATGAATTATGTATAAATGTTACATAAGAAGAAATTAAAAATTTTAAAAATAAATTTTAAGAATCTTGCTATCATTAAAATAAATTTTTGACTAGTTATGAAGTTATGCTATCATTCTTATTAATTACGACCTTGAAGGTTTCTCATTTTTTTAAAAAAAGATGTTTGGCTAATTGTAGGTCAGGGAACTTCAAAGACAAACTCATGCTTTAATAAAGTTACCTGAGGAGAGTGATAGCTCAGACAGTGAAGAAACACCCGTCCATATAATTGGTGATTTTTACAGCACACAAGTATGTAATAATTAATATTGTTGTATCCACAATATTATTTTTTAATTTTTTATGACTGATATTAACAGAAAGTCTTCTGTGCAAAAATGTCTAATGTATGCCTTTTATTGCAACTCTGAAGAAATATGTCTGCCTGAACAACTTTAATAACAGCTATGAACTTTTATATGCAGCTTTTTTTGCATTTATGATTAATTTGTTAACCAGATATTTGGATTTAAAAATTTTAATTTCACATTATTACATAATTTTAAGTGAAATATCTTATGTCTGACTGAGTTGTTTTCAATTTTAAACTTAATACTGACAGTTGGAATGTTAGCAATATTATCCTTGATCCCTCCCTTTAATATTTTTTCCATTGTCAATTCGAGACTAAAAGTCAACAGTTTTAGATAAATTTTGACTGGTAGACTTTACTAAGAAAACTGGCATCAAAATTTTGAAACTGTTACGGGGAAAAAAACATTTACAATAAAGAAGAGGAAATTTTAGAAACAAAATTAATTTTAACATATTTAGAGTAACTTCTGCAAAAAAGTATTTGCGAACTGCTTTTGATGTTATGTTTAAATTTCGTTTTTATATTCAGTATTATGTATAAAGTATAAGATATTGAAAAATCGTCGGAATAAAAAATAAGGGTGCACTTAAAGTATAATAATATTTTATTTTTAAAGTAAATTTACTTGTCAATTTAATCATAAAGCATGAAAATTGTTTTTAGGCAAATTATAAATTTAAAATACTGAAATACTTACAAATTGCCTAATTTAGCATAGAACAACAAAATAATTCATATTCTGAAAAAAAAAAGGGGATTCTTTTTGGGGTGAATGGCGAATAGGAAAAAATTCCAATAGTAAGTTCGGTGCCAAATAGGTTAAATAGATTTTATGACAAAAATTTTGGCAACTTTACAAAACTTTCAAGTCTCTGAAATTCATTAAACTAAAATAGTTTCCATAAAAAACAGAAAATTAGTTAATATTGGCAGATAGGCTTTTTTCAATGCTTAGTATTTTAGAAAGTAAAGTTTAAATTCTTTAAAAGAGACTTTGAAAACTTAATTAAATTTAAAGTTTGATTTCTTTAAATTTGGTTTGAATGTTTACGATTAAAATTGAGTTTGACATCTTTCTGCTTTTAGGCTGCTCAACGCCAAATCCGAGCATTGGTGAACAAGAGTCAAATGACTGGCCTCAGACGACCGGGAGGAATGCCTCCGAATCAACGTCAAGTTCAGGCAAACTAGCGTGACCCCCAAGCCCCGCCACAAATGACCTTCAAGATACCAAAGACCAACAAAATTCTGCCACCTCATTTCACCTCTTGTACAGGTGGCGGTGGGTTTGGGGGAACTACAGACTAGGATGCATGGACGTCGTTGCTTTGTTTGGTTTCCACAGTAACATATCACCTTATTTGGTAATAATCCCCCGTTCCCCAAAGGCTGCCTGCTCTGCCGCCTGAGAGCGAGGGATTGTTGTTTTGTTTAAATGAGGTGTAAATCTCAGGAATGGAGTAATGTGTTAATATGTGTATGATAAAGCATTTAAATTTTTGTAAGTAGGAGTGTAATATGAGGCAGTTGTTTAGTTAGTACAAAAACATGGACCATAATTGTTAATATATCATGGTCTTTGTAATGTTATGAAAAGTTTATTTTTGATACTTGTTGGAGAAACTTTTTTGTTGTCAATTTTTATGAGGGCATTTTTTGCCAAGGAGTAAAAATGTGGCCAAAGGGAAAAAATGGAAATAAACTAGATCAGCATTTGCTCATAGCTGATATTTTAAGTCTTACATTGCAGATTTGTCATTTTTCTGTTTCTCCAATAAGCATTGTATATCAGAGGCTCTCTCATAATAATCCCCACCATCCCTTTCTGTATGAGCCCTCGTTAAAAAAAAAAAAGGTACATTCGGAAGCTTATTCTACACATGCATGCATTGTCACCATTTAATGTGCAAAAGGTCTCTTACAATAGGGATTACTTGCTAAACTTCTTTGTAACGTGCCGAAGATTGCCATGGAAAACCAAACAAAGCCTAAACTTAACAGATGTATCTAGTATAATGTATGAGGCGATATTTTGCTGACATACATCAATCTCTATGAACGTATATTCAATAATGGGAAAATGCGTTTCTCACATTCTTTCATCCCCATACTACCGATTCACCTTGGAACGTGGTATCAACGTAGGTCATAGTAAAGCACAGGAAAGAACAATAATATACTGGCTGTGGCACATTAGGGCAAACATTCAAACAGGTTTTATTTCCGTTTTATATGGACAGTTTTACTTTCTCAAGACACGTTTTTTTAATTGGAAATAATTGAATCTAGTTTCATCTCTAACTATAATTTTCTTTTTGTGCAGTCCATTCTTTCTATAAAAACAGTGCATTGATTGGTCTCATTCAGAGGAACTATTGATAACTAGCAACTAAAAACATGCAGAGTAATTAAGCTCTTAACAATTTTGTTTGATTTAAGGACTGCACAATTGTGACAAACCACCAAGTATCTGTGTGGTAAGAGATATAAACACAAATGCGAATGAATTTGAGATAGCAGCTTTCTGAATAATAATTTGAGGGACCTTTTGTGATTCACTTGTTTCAGATTTTTATTAGATATCTATATTTGTGTTTAAACTCGCAATTACATAATCCAGTAGGTATAATATGAACTATTTTAGCAATAATCGTGAAACTGTTCCGTAAATAATGAATTTTAACTAAATATCTCCCTATTGCGCCTCTCTGAATTTTTAATACTCATGCAAATCTTTACTTTCATACTTGAAAAAGGCCCATAAAAATATTATTCATGATTTGATAGATGCTATGTTTTTCACCATGACTAACAGTGACTTAACAAACCCTTCACATAAGTACAAATAACGGTGCAAATTGCATTGTTTCCATCGACATATGCTGCTGATGTTAAGTGGAAATAACTTATTGAATGAACTTCTGCAGCAATATATTTGCTGAGGTAAATGAATTACTAGTGACTATATATTTTTGCAACTTATTCTACAGTATATATGACTGCTTATATTTACTTTGAAGTTCTGCTTTAAATAAATCCAATGCATTTCAAGCAGTCTTGATAGTAACCATCCCCCCCACTGCAGAAAATGACGATGCTAGATTTTAATTCTGTACTGAAAAAGTACAGTTTGATGCAAAATAAGGTATCCTTCCACTGCCTTGTACTGTCAGCGCAAATATTAATAATGTATTTGGGAATATATTTTTCATATATGCATGTTCTGAATTTACTTTTGTTTTAGACTATGATAAATCTTTTCTTTTTTACAACATTTTATTCTTTATGTATTCTTTTTAGTTTTGACAACATTTGAATTCTGGTACTTCAAAGCATGAAGTGCCAGAGTTCATCTTTTAGTTACTTTGCATATATATACATGTATTTTCTTTTGACTGTAAACTCCTGTCAAATTCATTTGCTGTTCAGTACAGTCTGCAACTTAAATGTCCACTGAACGCTTAGATTCTTTGCACGTTTTTGAAGGGACAGGAAGCATAATTAATATTCAATATTGTAGTTCAGATAATTCTCATTGTTCTAATCTGTGTTGTGTACTGACTGAAAGGTATCCATAACAAATGTCCCAGCATGGAATAATTGTACAAACTCAAAGGCAGGGCCAGTTAATAATTTGTGCAGTTTTGTTTTTTGTTAGCCAAATTTCTTTTTGAGTGCACACTGTGTAGGGGCATGTGTTATGTGGTACTGCAGTATTTAAGTAAAATAATGTTTTATGTTCATGAATTTTTTGAAACAGTTTTCTTCCCTGTTTGAAAAGTTATTGTTCTTGCCTTCATTATACTAAATAATGTTTGGACTTAGATAATTAGTTTATTTTTCTGTATTTAATTTTTTCTTTTTGCTGCTTGACTGGCTAATATTTACATGTAATAGGAAATAGGTATTTTGAAATTTTATGTACACTGCAGAATGTAAAATTGACAGTGTTAGTGGTATTTACTATTAATAATTTGCAATGCATGTTAGTTCTAAGATTGTTACACTGTGAGGAAGCCCTAGTGTGAAGGGGGATAAATATATATGAAAAAACCATTTTCACATTTTATTTGCTTTAAATTTTTTCTCTGGATGCAAATGCTGAAGGCCTCATTTATTTTTATTGGGGAGTTAGTCTATGACACATAGTCTCAATAACTCAGGATTCTTACACATAAGTTTTGTTACTGATCTACCTCTTAATAATTTCTGTGTGGTTCCGGAATTGTGAAGTTTCCTCTAGCAAAGGAAGAGAGTGCATTAAGTGCCATAACACCTGTTCAAAGTATTCATACTAACAGAAGTACAAAAAAAAAAAAAAAAAAAAAAAAAAATGGCCTACTTTTAACTCTCATGAATGCACTGTTTTTTCCCCAACAAGAAACTTTAACAAACCTGGACCCATGGGAGTTATTATTTGGAAATATGTTTAAAAGATAATTTAAATACCATCATATCAGCTAACCCCATAACCTAGAGGAACCTCGCAATGAATACTCACAATTTATACTTTTCCTGTATTTAATGGTCAGTGTTTCTTCTGTTTAATTAACCATAGAGGAGCTCAACAGTTAACACCTTGGGGAATTCTGCCTTTTTTCCACCATAGAAATAACTGGCAGCAGCAGCATTCATTGTAGCAAACAAACCTTTCATATTTGTAATCAGCTGCAACCCTGTATATGGCCTTCAAGCCACATTGAACTCCTCATATGTTCTATGTTTTCTATGAGGAATTAAATTATTCTAGTTAAACTTGTGTTGTTTCATTTGTGTCAATTTTGCTTGTGTATGTTTTCATTAGCATTAAAGGAGAAATCACATTAATGAAAGTAAATTATACATAATAAAAGAATACTCCTTTACTAATTAAGATAATTATATATGCTAATTCAGAAGTCAAACAACAAAAATCAGCGTTATACCTACAAAATTTTCACAGGACTAGTTTCGATGGTTTTACCGAACCATCATCTTCAGCTGCAAAACCGCAAATGAATCATTTTGTTGTTTGACTTCTGAATTAGTATTTATTCGGCGTGTTATTGTGTCTTAATTAATTATATATGGTTTAATATCGTAGTTCTATGTTGATTGTATTAGTACTGAGCTAACCAATACCACCCTTATCTTACATTAATTAATACACACAGAACATCTGTATTTATTCTTAAAGAGTATATATGTTAAGTAAGGTCCACCCTTTTTTTTAAATGGCAATATATTGTTTAAAAAACCCTTTATTTTAGGATTTTTTACATAGTTGCCTAGTTAGCACTTGTTGCACATTAAAACTTAAATTTTGAAAACCCTCTTCAAAGGAGTTTGCCGCCTGCTCGGACAGCCAACGGCCGCTTTCACTTCTTCGTTGTCAGTGAAGTGCATCTTGCCAAGATGGAGTTTGAGGGACCGGAGAAAGTGGAAATAACTGGAAGCAAGGTAAGGGCTGTATGGTGCACGGTCCAAAACTTCCCAGCCAGAAGAAGCCGAGTTGTTCGAGTAGTCCGAAGCCTTGTGTTGTCATGGAGTAGCAAAATTCCTTTTTACAGCATGCCGTTTGTTTTGCAGTGCTTTTTGGAGCTTCTGTAGAGTCCGCCAGCAAAACAGCACGCTAGTCCCAGAACCATAATCTTGTACTTTGCCATCGTTTGTCTAGCTTTGAAGGAAGAGGATGTGTGTTGCCATTCCATCGACTGTTGCTTGGATTCAGATGTGATATGGCATATTCATTTTTCATCTCCTGTAACGATTTGACCCAATATGTCATCCCCTTCCTCATAACGACAACACAATTGTTTAGTTAGGTTTTCAGTCAGTTATGTACACGCTGACTGAGAAACGTGGGGGATGTTCCAATAAAGATTGGTTATCATGAATCTCCTGTTCTCACGAATTTTTGTTTCAACTCCATGCACCAAATTAACAGTGATTACAAAGGGAAAGCCTGAGCATTCTTTGTCATTGACAGTCAAAAAACACATACCGTATCTCGCTCATGGCAGGCAATTCAATCACATTAAACATTTTAAAGACTCGCAGCGAAGTTTTCTTACAACTGCTACAGAGCTGAAACTAGCGTGATTTTGTTTGCAAAGGATGCTAGCAGTAGCGTTCGCGATAACTCAATGCACCAACAGAACCTTGTATAAGCAGGAGCATTTTTGAGCATTTGTTTCAAAAGTGAACAGTGGCTGCATTCTTTTCAGACGCTACCGCATTACATTAACATTTGAAAGAAACAGCTTGACTAACACATCGAAAGCTTCTGGAAATGCCCTGAATATTAGCTAAATACAACCAGAAGAATATTACGTATATAGTATATTATATATAATTGTTTATTGTTTTTATACTCTTAATTTAGTAAGATTTGTTTCAAAGTTAGTTTAAAAATGAGAAATGTGCGATTGCATTATAACCTACTGTTGTAAAGTACAATTTAAAAGGCTAAATAAAGTTAATGTATAACATGTCAAAAGAAATCTTTAATAATTCAACTGAATGCCGAATCTTCTAGTTGTATTTAGCTGATTAAAAATTTGCAGTTATCAGTGTTTAAAACAATGAGTTAAATCTGTTGATCTGAAACTGTAGTATGTATATTCCTGTTTCTGCGTGAAAACCTTTCGAAAGGTTCGAGCGGCTCTCGAGGGAATTCTCCGTTTTTTTGAAGAAAAGGAAGATTATGTTAGAAGATAACTTATAGGGTAGAATTAGGTAAAATATCTTATGTGCCACTTTAGATCAACCTAACAGTTTGATGATTTAGATAAGTCTTTTAACTGAGTTCAGGGATCTTCACAGGCAATGTGTTTATTACAAGGTGTGTTCGAAAAATTCGGTGAATTTTACCATAAAAAAAGGAAACAAGAGAAACAAGCAAAGTAGCTTTACTGGCCTTCAAGTATTCGCCATTAGCAACAATACACTTTTGACATCGGGTGTACAATTGTTGGAAAATGTCTGCAAACGCTTCTTTCGGTATGGCTCGCAGCACCGTTGTCACACATTGTCAGTAATGTAGGAAAAGTGCTGGCCTTTCAGAACTCCTTTGAGGCAGGAAAACAGGAAGAAGTCCACGGGAGCCAGATCTGGAGAATATGGAGGATGATCCAAAACTGGAACCTGTCGAGGAATTGGGTTACACGGATCGCAGAGTGTGGCCAGGCATTGTCATGGAGCAGATTCCACTGTCCATTCCGGTACTGTAGCCGAATCCGGCGTATGTGTAGCAGCAGCCGTTTCAAAACCCCCTCGTAGTATTCCACATTGACGATTGTAATTGCAGGTACAAATTCATGATGGATCAAACCCTTACTGTCGAAAAAGACGATCGACAACGTCTTGATCCTGGATTGTGTCAAACAGCTTTTTTGGGAGGGGGTGACGACGTTGAACACAATGCCATGGATTGGCGCTTGGTCTCCGGATCATATTGATAGCACTAAGATGCATCCCCTGTAATTATTGTTTCCAAGAATTGCGGATTCCGGTCAAGCATGCCGATAAAATCTCCAGAGGTTTCCATCTGGTATTACTTTTGCTCGTCTGACAGCGAGTGCAGTACAAACCGGGCACACATCTTACGTTTATGCAAATGTTTGTGTACAATGGTGCTCTTATCTGCAATTTGCCAGCTTTCATTCTTAAAGATAGGTGTCGCAATGCTTATCTGCAATTCGCCAGCTATCATTCTTAAAGATAGTTTAAACCACTCATAAACACACTTTTTACTCACTGCTTCCTGAGTGTAAACTTTCACTAACATGTCATGTGGCGCCGTTTTGCCTAACTTGAAGCAAAACTTTGTTTATGCATTGCTCCTTGTCACACTGACTTTGTTAAACTGGTCATAGCGTGCACTTCCTCTTATCTGCCGTAAAATGGCCGTTAGATGGCTCTAGATGACATTTCTCTCACTGCATCTGCGTGAGTGCAAGATCCTAACCGGTGCGGTTTTTAATTATGAGATCAATCACCAACCTTTTCGAACAAACCTTGTATAATGTTTTCAGTCAAATCACTTCTCATTGAAAGTAAGATTTGAAAATTTACTTTTTTCCTCTTTCCCTCATTGTCTCAAGGTAAGAGAAAAAAACCTTTCTCCTATTTTTCTTGGGGGGGGGGGGGGGGTGATATTTTTTCTTTCTTGCACTGACTAAATAAACCTAAAAGTAAAGATATTGGTGGTGAAGATTGATTAATCAAAGTTTTTTTTACACTTTGAGAAAGGTACATAGTTCTCTTATTGGCAGAAATAGTTGCACAAATTGAGAAAAGTACACTTCAGAATATTGTGTGTTATTTCAGTTAACAGTAGTGGCTTTTTTGTCCTATTAGTTGATAAATGAGTGTATTATATCCTCAGAACCCTTTAGAGGGGGAATTCTAAGGACCTTTATTTATTTATTTGCGAAATTGATTTCCGTTGGGTTAATCAGAAGGGTAGAGGAAATTGTTGCAACTTAATTTCCATTCATTACTATCATCTGACTGTAGAGTCTGGCAAAGCTCTTACCATTAAATAGTTATAAAAAAGTTAATCAAGAAGCAGTTGCACAGAGTCGGAGATTTTTTATCCACGAATACGAATATAAGAGTGTCTTGCACAATGCTGATCTGGCTGTGAATCATAACTCTCCAGTACATTTGCTGTATGTGTGCTATTTTTTGTTTACATATTCAGCTTTATACTTTATGGAAGCATATGCAAGATTTAGTATGCTTTGTTTGCATTTTTCATGCTTATGTCAGCAGCTTCGTAAAGTGATTAGTCTACTTCCTGATTTTTAGCATTGTAAATGGACATAAGAAATTTTTAGAGGTAAGTTTTTATGCAAGTCTTTTTGATCCAAATAGAGCACTTGCAAATTGCTATCTGTAACTATGGCACGTGTAATGCAAATTCATGTCATTTGAGCAGTTAACGTTGACATGTACGATGCAATTCTGAATACTCCCACTTTTACCAACGAAGACTGCAGTAGTGCTTACCTGCGGGTGCATGAAAAATGTCCTTTTTTAGGACTCCACACAACAATTCGTATCATGAGCTAAGCGAGATGGCTGACTCTGAAAGATCAACTCGCTCTGTAAAAAGAGACGGAGTACTACGTCCGCCATGGAAAGAAGATGAGAAAAATATAGAAGAAAAGTTTTAGATTCACTGGATGACAAAGTGATCTTGAGACTTATGAAAGAACTAGGATATAATTGCTGTTAAAAATATGTACGTGAATACTAACCTGATCTGGACGTGAAAGAATTTAAGAAAATAGCTAGAGAAGAACAGATTGCTTCATGAAGGCTAGCCTACCAAAGCAGAAGAAAATTAAAGGTGGCTAAATTGGTTCCAAATGAAGAACCCATGGGTAATAATACCAAAAGAAAACGGATTTAAAGTCCTGGAAACTGCAGAAAACGTTGTCGAAAGAGGAGCCACATAAGAAGAAACGTCCCCTCCCATTATACTAGAGTATGATTGATTGGCGAAAAGTTCATGAAATGTTAATACACGTCTGCGAAGATGAATTCGAAGCTGATATGAAATTTAAATCAATATATAAAGTGAAAAGTATATCGGACTAGAAAAGCTACGAAGATCCTACATGAAAGAAGCTCATGTTAGTTTGTATCGTGGATGTTCCGCTTACAAGAAAAGATTTCGATGAAAGCCGCTACCTCAGAAACCCACATCCACATTAAAGGAATTCCCACAACTGACTAAACCTGATGAGAAAGAAGCTAAAACTGAA